TTCGATATCTCAGCTCTGGAAGGGGCTAGAGCCTCCATTTTTGCACTCAGGTCTAAGTCTCATGGCCCTCTATCAGAATTTGGGAAGATTGAGAAACTTAATTTTTCGCCCAAAAAAAAAACGTAAGGGGTACCACTGTCGTTTTTTTTTCGGGCCGAATTTTTGAGTTTCGATATCTCAGCTCTGGAAGGGGCTAGAGCCTCCATTTTTTCACTCAGGTCTAAGTCTCATGGCCATCTATCAGAATTTGGGAAGATTGGAGAAACTTAATTTTTCGCCCAAAAAAAAACGTAAGGGGTACCACTGTCGTTTTTTTTTTCGGGCCGAATTTTTGAGTTTCGATATCTCAGCTCTGGAAGGGGCTAGAGCCTCCATTTTTGCACTCAGGTCTAAGTCTCATGGCCCTCTATCAGAATCCAGTTTTGGGAAGATTGGAGAAACTTAATTTTTCGCCCAAAAAAAAAAAACGTAAGGGGTACCACTGTCGTTTTTTTTTTCGGGCCGAATTTCTTGAGTTTCGATATCTCAGCTCTGGAAGGGGCTAGAGCCTCCATTTTTGCACTCAGGTCTAAGTCTCATGGCCCTCTATCAGAATTTGGGAAGATTGGAGAAACTTAATTTTTCGCCCAAAAAAAAAAACGTAAGGGGTACCACTGTCGTTTTTTTTTTTCGGTTACTCTGATCTTCTTGAAACTCTGAAATCTGATAGAGGGCCATGGGACTTAGACCTGAGTGCAAAAATGGAGGCTCTAGACCCTTCCAGAGCTGAGATATTGAGATCCCACGTAGCATGTATGCCATTATACATATCTCAATATCTCAGCTCTGGAAGGGTCTAGAGCCTCCATTTTTGCACTCAGGTCTAAGTCCCATGGCCCTCTATCAGAATCCAGAGTTTCAAGAAGATCAGAGTAATTCAATTTTTTTTTTTTTCGGGTCGAAATTTTGAGTTGCTCTGATCTTCTTGAAACTCTGGATTTTGATAGAGGGCCTTGGGAGTTAGACCTGAGTGCAAAATGGAGTCTCTAGACCCTTCCATAGCTGAGATATGGACATCCCACATAGCATGTATGCCATAAAAATAGTGGGTTCGTGGACGGTGGAATTATGGGATGTGGCTTGGTGCTACGGACTCAGGGGAGCCTCCTGAGTGCAGATAAATGGTTTTCATCCAAATATTTTGAAAGCTAAGCTTAAAAACCACGTGTCCAAAAACCCACTATTTGTCCAATAACCGACTGTATTTGAAAAGTACTAACCCTGACCTTCATACAATAAGCTGCAAATGGACAGAATCCCGACTGCAATATATTGAATGGGGTTTTGAGTATTTTTTGGACATTTTAATTAAAGTTTCTTTCATGATAAAAACTATTTTACTGCACTCAGGAGGCTCCCCTGAGTCAGTAGCACCAAGCGCCATCCCATAATTTCACTGTCCACGAACCCACTATTTTTATAATGGCATAAATGCTACGTGGGATGTCCGTATCTCAGCTCTGGAAGGGTCTAGAGACTCCATTTTTGCACTCAGGTCTAACTCCCAAGGCCCTCTATCAGAATCCAGAGTTTCAAGGAGATCAGAGCAACTCAAGATTTCGACCAGAAAAAAAACGACAGTGGTACCCGTCGTTTTTTTTTTTTTTTTTTTTTTGGGTGCGAAAAAATAAGTTTCTCCAATCTTCTTGAAACTCTGGATTCTGATAGAGGTCCTTGGGTGCGAAAAAAATAAGTTTCTCCAATCTCCAATCTGATGGGACTTAGACCTGGGTGCAAAAATAGAGGCTCTAGACCCTTCCAGAGCTGAGATATGGACATCCCACGTAGCATTTATGCCATTACAAAAATAGTGGGTTCGTGGACGGTGGAATTATGGGATGGCGCTTGGTGCTATAGACTCAGGGGAGCCTCCTGAGTGCAGTAAAATAGTTTTTATCATGAAAGAAATTTTAATTAAAATGTCCAAAAAAAACACTACCCAAATCCCCATTCAATAGATTGCAGGCGGGATTCCGTCCAATTGCAGCTTTTTACATGAAGGCCAGGGTTAGTACTTTTCAAATATAGTCGGTTATTGGACAAATAGTGGGTTCTTGGACAGTGGAATTATGGGATCGCATTTGGTGCAAAAATTCCACCGTCCGCGAACCCACTATTTTTTATAATGGCCTACATGCTACGTGGAATCTCAATATCTCAGCTCTGGAAGGGTCTAGAGACTCCATTTTTGCACTCAGGTCTAAGATCAGAGGGCGTTTGTACATTTTTGGGAAGTACACCTGTTTTGACCTGATGTCCATTGGAATGGACAAAAAAAAAAATCACAATGGAAGCATTTATATATATATATATATTTTTGTTTTCCATTTGTTTTCATTTATAGAAACCTCATGAGCTGGGAAAATGTACTTTTATATTTTTCAGAAACTTGAAACATAATTCAGGTCTGAGGGGGTTAAGAAAAAGGTACGCTAAAACAACGTATTATCAACGTTAAACCACGTTAACTGTGTGAACCATAACCTTTTAAATACTCGACCTAGTTCCGTTGCTTAGCAACGGGAGAAACTCCTGTAACTTTAGTGCCATAAGGTGCGTTCCATTCGACAGGGTCCCTATGCAGGGTTCACTGCTCCCTACTCCCTGAACATGGTATATCAGTTGAAGTGGACTTCACTGACTTCCTGTGAAGTGATGTATCGATGTTCCCTTATTCCCTATGCCGTTTGCAGTGCCCTTCGAACTGAACATGTTCGTTCCCTTCGAATTGGAATCTCACTTAAGATGGCGAAAGTCCACTTCGCAGTCCACTTACGGTCGAATGGAACACACCTATAGATTAGCACCTTAGTGCTTACAGATTAGGAGACAGTATGTGTTCGCTGCATTTGTAATGTTATACTTTTAGAATAGGTTAACATCCGGGTATCTCTCCACTGGAACGTGTTACGCAAACGTGTAAATTTCACGTTTGAGGGGGTTAAACCGTGACATCTACACGTTTTCCAAAGTGGACCAACGTGATTATTTCACGTCTTGTCGTGATACCGGGTTGAACATTTTGTGCTGTTGTTGAAGCCCGACATCAAATCGAACATTAATGTGCATTTCCAACAAAATAATAATGTATAAACGTCACCCTCACGAGTCACGACGATCATTTCACGAGAAAAAAAGAAATAAATCTCAGAAATTACACTACAATATTGCGCTGCACTAAAGGACTTCCCGTATCAGCCACGATCTACTCCTGCTAACATGAAATAAACCTGCTCGCGAGCAGGTTCAAGCTGACGGACCTTTTGCTATGACAGCAAGTCAAGGATGAGCGTCGAAGAACCAAACATTCCAAGATCATGGCAAATCGCCAAAAATCAAATCCTGCTGAGTTAGCGACATACGAAGAACGGGCCCCAGGAGGACGTTAGGGTGAAACAATGCAAAGTTTGGATTATTTATTACTTATGGAAGTTAAACTATGATTTTTGGTGGAATAAGAAATTAAAAATTAAATCTGAATAAAAGGGGATCAGCTCCTGCACAGTCAAACATATTACTCATAATTTAATTAAAATATAAGAACATCAGTATTTCTAAACATTAAAAATATTTGTTGCTTATCAGCACTAAACTCATGCATCACATGTAAGGTGTAACTAAGTGGAGTATTAGTGCAGACATATAGTTTCATTTAGTCTATAATGCTTTAGATGTTCATGTATACTAAAACCTTAAAAATAGTATAGACTATGCAATAATACAGCCAGTAATATGAATTAGAATATGCATATTTAAATGAAGAAATACACACATTTCAATGAGAATACCAGCACCAGGATTTGCAGTACACATTCTGATAATCCGAAAACGGTTTACTATTTAATTTAATCTGCTTAAAACAGAAGAATTTAGTAAATCACATGGAAATTATACTTAAATCTCGAATGCAAAAATAAATTTGTACAGAACTTTAAATACAAAAATTCCAAAATAAACCATATAAATCTAAGCAAAGAAAACAACTGTTAAAAACTATCTACAATTGCTTGAATATAAAACCAACGAGTATGCTAACAAGTTAGCCTTTTAAATGTCACTCCCAGACGCATTTATTATTCTTTTTTTATTACTATTTTAATACAACTGCAATAGTAATGCAGATTTATTTACTAACATCTCTCAATATACATAAGCCGTATGCTATGACACGGGGTAAAAGAACCCTACAGCAGCAGCAGGCATTGGTATTACCTTCACTAGTTCAAGGAGGGCTAGTGACGGTTTGACAATTTTACAGACCGATATAAGACTTCCTCATGTTTACAGATCTCTGTGTGTAACATTTAACCATTAAATACAAGCCTGCCCACACAACAGACTTATAGTGTAAATCAAAGCATTCAGGAAACATCCACTGGGGGATGTTGACTGGATTACAGGTTCTTCAGGTCAAGGGACTCTCAGCCCACCAGGAGACCCCCTTATGTACTCAATGAGAATCTAAGGCACCTTGGAACCCTGATAATCTTAGTGTGTGATGACCTTCAAACTTCCCAAATCCTTTCTTAACTGGATACAGCGACCCTTCCCACAGCCAAAGAGACTCAAATAGTCTTTGAGAAAGGCTTAGAAGTTGTTTTGGGTCTCGGGCAATCGCAAAATGTCCTTAAGCTCCCTCAACAATATCGTCTTCGACTACTTTTTTGTGGGAAACGTTATTCCCACAAATGGAAAAGGTAGACACACACAAAAGCATACACACAATGACGAATCTAACACATTTGGTCACAATGCCGAGACCATCTGCTGTCTCAATGACCTCACACATACACACATGTAACATTTTGTTCAAGTGCAATCTAAATCTGTGGAAGGTCATCTTGAGGTGAGCTTTAAGACTTTGAAGGTTGCCAAATGTAACTTTTTTTTGTGCGATAAATATGACGTCAAAAGGACATCTAAAAACAAGGTGGTATGAAAGATCAAGCATTAAGTGGAGGCGATTGGTTTAAATGCCACACCAGGAGGAGCTCGATGAGACGTTCCACCGTCTTTAATGCAACTGATTTTGCCTGGCATTTAAGAGCATTGATGCCAAAGCTGGTTAGTTCATACGTAGCAGCGAAGGCCGGGGTCACTTAGGCACAAGGCCTCGAGATTGTGGGTAAAGAGGGGACCCTGAGCCGGACAAAGGGCTGTGAGCTGAAGTTGGAGTGCTCACCTTCTTGCCAGTTTTTGGGCGGCTGTAAGATGATAATGGGGGAAAACAAAAAAGTATATTAAGGTAGGATAAATAAAGGTGAATAATAAAAGGGAAGAGGTTGAAGGTAGGGCTGCACCATATTGGAAAAAACTGACATTGCGATTTCCTTTTTCTGCGATATGAAGAAATACATGAATACTCATCAGACAACTAAAATAGCTATATATTATTAGGTAAGAAGTAATCATTCTAGAATCATTGGAGAAAAAAAATTGTAAAAAAAAAAAAAAAAAAATTGTAAAAAAAAAATTGATTGTAAAAAAAAAAAGATATAATCCTTTAAAACTGAATCATTTGTTTTTCTTTACTTTATTTAATTTAGTTTTTTCATTTATTTATTTTATCATTTCATTGCTTCATTCCATTCTGTTAAAATTTGTGTGTTCACACTCGAGTTTACTATTTACCAGAACTAACACATACCTTTCAGCAACCATAAAGTGGCCAGAGGTTAAAAAAAATAAAAATAAAACTAGAAATAAGCATATGGTATATTCCCACTGTTCTTGACCAATTCAGTATAAAATAATAATGATTTTTTAATAGTTATTATTAAATGATATATTAAACAAAATAAATATATTGTAACTGTTGTACTGTAAAATAAGTGAAACTCTGCAATAGGGATGCAAATTATCAATTAATTCATTAATCATTAGTCAACCTTATCGATCGATTAACGATTAACTGATAATCGCCTATTTTCCCGAGAATGTAAATTTCTCACGGTATCAAATTAACATAAAAAGCTAAATACGAGGGTTTGGAGCCAGAGTGGCATTTTGGGCGAATATGAGTTCTTAATATAAAAATAAAGGTCTCGATGAGCTCTATTCAATGGTGCCAAAAATACCTATCTGAGATCAAACTGTATTGAATAAAGCAACAAAAAGGCGTATCTGACTTATTTGAGGTTTTAGAACATATTCATTGTGTTAATATGCCATACATTTTTACTTAAATACTAGTTTCATATAAGTATGCCTGTGGTTGCAATGTTTGTGGTTTAAGGTTAATAATACAGGTGATTGAAGCGTGGTCAAAATTTTGTTTTGTCTTTCCTGTAAAGTTTGCTAAAAGCCACGTACGCCCTTCTGGCTCCAAGCCCTCGAATATTGCTTATACTGAATAAAAATGAATGTTATATAACAGTTGGGATACGTCACAGAATAATGGCATTTATGTAGTTTAACAAAATAGATTATGCACAGAAAATTTAAATACATAAAAAATAATTGTGCATTGGCTCACCTGTTGCATGTGAAACATTAAGCAACATAAAATAAATTTTAAATAAAAATCTATATGGGTAAGCTTATCCTTCCAACACTATATTAAGCCTACTTACAATAATCTATCTGCTAAAATACTTGTATAAAAAAAAACTTGAAACATTAACAGCACCATTTATAATATAGGCTGAGGGGGAAGTCAAATGTACAACTTGTAACGAGTGGAAATAAGGTGTGGCCCCTTTAAGAGCAGCGCGGCGCGCTCCCTGTTGAACTATTGCATGTGCCGTGCGCCTTGACGAACACCCCTTTTGCTGTCTACACGAAGTGAACACACCATGTATGAAAGTGTGACAGACAGTTAGACTAGTTTCCCGGGAAAAATAACAAACCGTAAGGCGTCGAGAGATAGGGCTTAAAAAAAACGGGAGAAACCTGGGAAAACGGGAGCGTTGACGGGTATAAGCTGATTTATTGTTACAATACAGCTGGATTTTCGAGGTTAGCACGCTGTATAGTTGGTAGTCAATATCAATGACCGCCTCATGTTTAGTTTCTTTTTTGCCGCCTCAAGTTTGTGTCGGCTCTCTCGAGTGAGAACATCGTGTCACGTTCGCAATGTTCAATTAGCTGACAATTAATTTAATTGAGTAAATTCTTGTCGACAATTAATCGATAATCGATTAACCGTTTGCATCCCTACTCGGCAATCTGCATGATTTGACAATAGCATCAAGCCATATGGCAATATCGTATTTTTTCTCAATATAATGTGCAGCCCTAGTTCGAGGGACCATTTCTCACCCTGACTTTGGTTTCTTGGAAAACCCAGCAGCGGTGGCGCTGAGGCCTGGACTGGAGCCAAGGCTGGCACGGAGGCCAGAGGCGTCCACCTGGATTTCGTCCTCCTCTCTCAGAGCGTCCTCCAGAGCCGCAGCCACTTTAGGTGCTATCACCGGTCCCTCGTAGTCTTTTGTGGTACGTGTGGGCAAATCCAACTCCAGCAGCAGGATGTTCTCAGCCTGGAAGACGGGCGGGGAGACAATCACAAGATCAAGGATACAATGTGCGTTTGATTCTTGAGCTCATCTGTGTCACTGTAAAGAGTGAGGGAGTGTTGTAACTAAAGGCGTTGTGTAGTGCCATGTGGAGGATTATGGGAACAGTGTCAGCATACCTTGTATCTGACATCAGGCCGCATCAACATGGCCATACGGGCATGCTGACTCAGAGGCCGTCTGTAGCCGACTGCAGAAACAGGCCTTTTCATCATCTGCTGATCACTGAGAAAAACAACAAACGTTACAGTGAAGCAAGGATGTTGGTGGCCATAAAATTACACTTAACAAATCATTTCCAAGGTTCAAATTTCCAAAATCAGCCGACATACTTTTGAATGCGGGTGATAGGGGTCATTTTCCAGAGGTCATCTTCCTCGTCAAAAGTGGCTCTAGTCACAATCTTGCTCTTCTCCTCCAGTGGGATGAAGTTCTCGATAATCAGATGTCTGGTGGGTATGACAGAAAAGTTAACAAGTCAATGACATGATGTTGAGGATCTTTTCATTATTCAAAATGCCTTATATAATGACCCCTTCCATGAAAACATGCTTTTAATTTCTGAATGTTTTTGGAGATTGATACAACTGTCCTCAAAATGAAGAAAAAATACCTTAAACTATTAAACCTTGAAGTTTGGCATAATATTATTATTATTATTAAAAACAGTGAAGAAAATTTCTTAAAATATTAATATTTGAAAAGGTATAGGTAAAAGGTGTCCTTGTTACAGTGTAATTACATTTAAGTAATATCAATTAACAACGTGTACTTACAATAGGGTTAGGAATAGGGATTGATTTAGGGTTAGTTTCATGTAATTATGCATAATTTGCTGTTATTACTACAGTAATTACATGTTAAATAACAACACCGAAAAATAAAGTGTATGACCATCAAGCTGGGAAAGTAAACAGTAAGTTATATGACAAAAAAACACACCTATAAGCACTCATGACTGTATGATTGTATGACTCATCAGGGTAGAAAATGATTTTTTTAAATGATACTTTTACACTTTGAAAATTTCAGATAATGAAACAGATGTGGGCATTCACATGTGGTGGAGTTAAGGAAAATTGTATTACTTTTTTAATACTTGTGATATCATGTGATACAGTATCACATGATATTTTTATATTTCATAAGATAAAAACCTTTATTAAAAATGTTTTTGAAAGCCACATCAAGAAGTTGGAACATCTCTCCTTTTTTATCTTGAACACTCAAGATATTTCCCATTAACCTTAAACTCATTCTGCCAACCGCACTCAAAAGCAGCCTGTCAGGTGAATCTTCCTTAATGGATACTCCACTTTAGAGATCGCTCAGTACACTAGAGTCTTAGTGAGTGTGCATTAAACTGTTGACATCTGTAATGCAGTAGTGCTGAGTCCAAAGTTACAAGAAGTCAGGCCAACACAACTTAGGTCAGAACACACTACACACAATAGAAACAAAACCATTAAATCTATCATTTCTTTATCGGCATGTTTGAGCTTTCTGATAAGATGATTTAAAAACGCTACTGTTAAATGTAATCTTTATCAAACCTCAAAACGAATATCCATTTTCATTTAGAAGCCAACATCAGCATTTTGAATGATGCCTAAATTCTGGTAATGCGGATTCTGGGTTGACATACTTGAGTTTGAGTTCTCTGGTCAGCTCGTTCTGAGTCTGCTCCAGCTCCTGCCTGTATTTGACATGTTCATCCTGGGCATCCTGAATCTCCGCCTTCACGGACTGGAGCTTGGAAAAGAGCTACATGAAGGAGACAGAAACAGACAAGACATTCAAATAAGATTAAGCTCTTTATAGGAATGGGTAAGGCATATGGGTGATTCTATAATTGCAGATACATTGGTGTCCAAAGTCATCATATTTTTGTCCTTGTTATATTTTAAAATACTTTAATAATTTGTTGCTTATTATCATGGATCAAGATGTTACAGGCCATAACAATATAATATCGTGCATAATATTTAACAATATAATGATTTCTTGTCCGAATTAGTGTATTTTTCCATCATGTATCATTGTGTGATCAAAATATATTTTTACTTTTCTATTAGTAATATTTAATTTAGTTTATTTATAAAAACCCTAAATAGTCATTGTCCTTATTCTCCAATGTTAAATTGTTTCAAAATAACTTTTATCTTATAAAAATGTCTCCATAAATCTTTTGTTAATTCTGTTACCGTACCGTACTTTGCCTTTAAATTGGTGGAATAATCTCCCACAACTATGTAAAATACAGGAAATGGTGTCACTTTCCCTCACTGATAAGACCTGAAGCACTGAAAGGTATGTGTCTCTCTCTGAGAAAATATTTGAATTTAAAATCTAAAAGTTATTTTGTTAAACCTCAAAATTGTAACCACAATATTAAAAGGAAAACAGAATTTATCACTGATCACATAGTAGGTTGTTTAAAAGTCTTTTAAATGGGTGATGAACTGAGAAATCAAATTTTCCTTGAGCTTTTGACATCTAAGATGTCATCATATTCTAAGAATCTCCAGTAAGTTTAAACTGAAAACGTCCTTGTTAGTCAATAAAAAGCTTTTATTGACACCAGCCCCAGCAAACGACTCGTTTTCAAAAGTGGGAAACTATGACATCAAAGAGGATAAAACACCACCCCGCAGAAGAAGATCAACGCCTACTTCAACGGCTACAACAGCCGGTATAGCCCCGCCCACCGATTCGCGCATTACACGCATAGCTAAATAACATAGGCCTACCTCGTGATGACAAACCGGATCAAGCTACCGAGCAATACAGAATATTGTGCAGTACCTGGTTGTGGAAAAAGACAGTTGCTGAATATGCTTCCTCTGGATTCCAATAGGACTGCATGGTTAAACTTTATTTTTAATGACGTTCCAGCTGGTGAGTGTAAAACATTGTCCGTCTGTTCGCTTCATTTCACTGAGGATTGTTTTGTAAAC